GGAAACATTCTAGGTTATTATGAAAATAACTTTCCACAAAGTTAGGAAATTCTTGGTTGAACGGGTATATGTATCCGTTGTTCATGACAAAAGTTATTGGCTGAGCATCAAATTAAATATCGTCATTTAAGAGGAAAGTAAATAATGTCTATAGGCTACGTTCAAATACAAAGTATACTTTCAAATGAATGCAAAATGTAACTTGGTTATTTGGCTGCATGGGCTATTGCGCAGCGCCGGCGAAATTAAATAACAAATTAAAACTAATAAAACTAATATGATTTTAATTTTTAGATGTGCGCTAGTCGCTGGGTTTGATTTAATGTGCGCTAGTCGCTGGGTTAGTTAGAATAATGATATCATACAATATGATGTGGTAGCTGCTTCGATTTTCACTGATGCGCGACATTCCAAAGAAATTGAATAATTGCGGGCAAGTGAACCTCGAGGAAAAAATTAATAAACGAAAGGATCATTCATTTTCATATGGGAATATTAGAAAGATAACGACTGAATTATTTCTGGTTTTCTTCTATTTTGTGGCTGATTTTTCGAAATTGACTGGCAGAATAGATAAAGAATCGCATATTTCTCCGGCATTTTCATTACTACATTACAAAACCTGGTTCTACATTTTTTTCATTTCGTTTCTGTCATATTGAAATAATATTTACAATAAAAGGTTAAATCATTTGTTCTCGATATCGAATTGAAACGTTTACTATTTTAATTTTTAACCGCCTTTCCTCTTTTTTTATAGATTAACTAACCAGTGAGCCCTGTATTGCTCGGAAAAGATTATCGATTAAATTTAGAACCCCACTCTCTATAATCCCGTCATTCCGAATCCCGTTGATGATTATAAATTTAATGAATACTAATTAACGGAAGATCATTTTAAACACACATGTTTTAAAAAAACATCGAAGTCCCATTTCGCTGTTACTTCACATATGAAAACTTATTCCGCGATTTTAAATTAAATTTATAACTACTAATTTATTATCGAATTTTAATTTTACGGTTATCCTTTATTTCAATTGAATTTTCAGGTCCAATTTCCCGAAACGGTAAGTATCTTTAATGCGCGCTCGAACAGTCCCTATTTACGGTCCCATGCAAGCTCTAAACAAACACACACAAACGCACAAAAATGTATTTTTTTATTTATAAGATAAGAGGTCAACCCTGCGACTTTCTGGATACGGTATGCTTGATATATGAGATTCTCTACCTGTTTTTAATTGAAAGTAATGTAAATTTAAAAAAAGGCCTTGCAACTCCTTCTAAAACTCCCAATTCACAATTTACAGGCATTTTTCCATAAAATGTTTATTCGTTTCGTGCTGAATTGGGCTCTTTTCGATTGCGGTACTCAAGTTAGAATTTTTTATGTAGAACTCTTGATTCAAAACGCGGTAACATCGTTTTTATTTGACTCAAGATTTCTGTTAAGTTCTGTTATATTTTTATTCTTTTAAAAATAAAAATTGACATTGATCGAAATCTAAGCTGAAACCACGAATAAAGCATAAATAAAGTAAAAGAGCACATGAAAACAAGCTAGTAAGATTATGAACTAATAATGAACTAATAATGAACAGTTTGGAATAGAAAGCTATCTTTCTGGTTTCTGAGGAACAAGTGAACCCTGTTGATGAAGTTCCATAATTAGTGACGCAAGCGTTGGAAAGTGAAGCGAAGTTAAAGCGAATCCAAACTAGATCACAAAAATTACAAACAGAAATGTGTAGAAAAACCATTTTCAAGTGACTTTCGTGCGACTGTTTTCATCTTTCCTCATAAAAACATATTAAAAACTAGTAATTTTATTTCTTTCTTCATTGTGCAAGTCACTGGTATGAAAGGGTAATATCTGACAACGTAATCGTGTTCGACAGTTCCCTGATCTCCATGTACAATCCTGTTATACAATAACAGGATTGTACATTGTTTATGGGAATGTAATTGTTTACAAGATGATGTAAACAATATAGATTGTTTACATCATCAATTGTTACGAAGATGTAAACAATAATATAATTGTTTACAGCTTCGAGTTACGCTTTGCTTTCGAAATTCGATTATACGGATTAAGATATTTAATAGTAACTAAAGAAATTTCTACCAGTGCTTTTATAAGAGTCTGAAGGTAATCAGACTCTTATTTGTAAAATAAGGTAAAATTTGTTTCCAGAGACTGCTTAGGGTGCCTCTTTTTTGTATTTGCTAAATATATTTTAAAACAAAATGTACGAATAAATAGTTTGCCACGATGACAAGATTTTTTTTGCACAAAAAAAAAGTATTATAATATGGAAAATATAAAGCACGGTCTTCAGTGTCCAATATTTTCAGTGGCCAGTTGATAATACGATGAAATACATTATAATTCGTGTTGCTGAACGATTTATTTTGTCAATATAACGAATGATTAGTGTGACTCGGGAAATTTACGCCCCATTTATAATAATAGTTTACTCAAAGAATAGGCAGTTTACTTAACTTTCCTGCCTTTTTTATGTCCTATTTCATTGCCATATCAAACTATTAATTAAGAACATTCTCTTAAGCAAAATATACTCATTCATTGTTTTAGACAACATTTCACATTTCTTAATGGAAATTCATTATAATTATACAATTCGGACAAATCAGTTATACGATCAGGATCCAGTTAACAACGTAATTCATCCGGAAAATTAATTGTTAGTCTAAAAATATTTATATATATCATTACAATTTTAATGATCATCTAAATTATTGAATTGTGTACTAAAGCAAGTAGCATATGAGTATGAATAGAAGAGCACCTAATACACATTAAAAATTAATAGACCTATAAAAAATGGACGAAAATTTGTACCAGAAAATTCATAAGCCAAAAAAAATCAGTTTGCAGTTCTGGCTAAAGTTTCCATCCGTAAAATATTCTCTTCTTGTATTCAAACCACTAGCTGTCGTTATAAAGCAACGAGTTAAGTTAATTACCATAAGTTAGGGCATGATTTAAACTATTTGGTGTTGGATCAGTTTTTAATCAAGTTCCTGTTTCAATTTCAGCTCACGGTCCGAAAGTTCGACCTCCCCTTGTCTATAACACCGCGTCCAGCGCAGCCTCCTATATTCCATCTGAAAACCAATTTAATTTTGGTCAAATGATAAAGAGTGTTGCGATCAAGTCCACTTGACCATTCAACATTAAATTTTAATTCGTTTTGAAACATTGAAATTTCATGATCTGCTGATTATCCACTAATTATTTTCATTTTTTCAATGATTTGTCAATATATTATCAATTATTTTCCAATAAGCTCGATTTCTCTTATTCCTAGTCAATTCATCACCGGTTTTTCGTATAATATTCCTGCATTTCCAAAAATTAAAAAAATTAATGTCCAATGCATACATTACTGTTTATTTAGCACTCTCTTAACCATCTTTCAGAAATTTGCGTTCGTTCCATTCTCGTGCAACTGCCATTTATTCCCTATTCCCTATTTTTTCGCATAATTTCATATATTGAAAAAATCACGCGTATGTCAATTGTTATTACCTGTACCTTCTGAAAATATGTTTAATGCACTTCTCAGACGTTTTATAATCTTTTACTAATGAATTATGAAAGAATTATTCTCCCACTTCAATAAATTCACTGTACACACCTCAGAAATTTCACAATGAGTTTTCATTCACTCCTAGATTAAATTTATTTATTTTCTCCAAAAATTAACACGTATTTTGCAGATTTTAAGCTAATTTTTAAACCGTGTAATCGTATCTTGTGACGCTAGCGCGGTGGGCTCACACGTAGGAAAGTAAATATAACATGTTAAGCCTCATCTAATTATTTTTTTTAATTCATTAGAATTTATTAGTTTGTGCTATCACAATTGGGTTATTCACCTTAGTACTGCGTGTGTAACCTGAGGGCAGAATGTATGAGGCGGAATTAGTATCCAGTAATTCGGCTGTATCTGTGACTACATAAAAGAAAATAATTCATGATTGATTTGAAAGGACAGTATAAATGACGTTCCGCTAATGTGAACTGCCGGAATGATATATTGATTGAATGGAAAACTGTTTATTGTTTGCTTCAACTATCAAGGGCTAAAAACATTTGCAACTTTACATTTTCCTATAAACATTTCAAATGTTTTCCCCGATGACATTTTGACTTCAATATTAAAAAGCACAATTTTCTCATTACTCGAATTTCAGGATTTCAACGAACCGAAACAGGTTCAGATTTGCAGAAAAATTCTGGCTTTCTCGATTCATAAAGTTCAAAATGTTAAATGCCAGGAGAATAACATGTGTCGGTCTCATAATCGCATTGCTCGGAAAAGAAGGGGAAAGGAAAACCGGCATTTTGACTTGCAAGAACTAATTTCGAGTTTTCTGGAGTATAAAAGGAGGTGCAAGTTGGTCACTTGAGCATAAAAACGGGCGGGTATAACACTGGCAGCGGACTAGTCGAGCAGACTGTGCTTTCTCGAGAGAGATCGCCGGTGAAGTTGCAGAGGCTGCAGAGAATAAGCATGACCATTGCTTCTCTTTTGCTGGTGTGCGTCGAACGCAGTTAGAACTCCGCTGGTGCTGGACAAGAGGGCTGTAGAGACAATTATAACTAATATAAAAAAAATTTAATTTTATTTGATGTTGAGCGTTGATTGAAGAAAAGGGTCACGCGTTTTAAAGTAGAAGAAAGTTATTCATTAAAAAAATAATTCTTCCGCTCAACAGAAAGTGAGAATTGCGTTCCAACTCACAACAAAAGGTCTTATTTTATGTAAAGCTGAGTAAGCGAGCAATGTATAATATGAAAAATTACTAATATATTTAGAGATAATCTTTCTCATTTTTTAAAAATCATGAAATGTTCTTTCAGTCAGGAAAAATCAAAAGATCTTTATTTAATAGTATTGTTTCTAGTGTAATAATTATTTCACTGTGGTTTTGAAGCCGTAAAATTTAAATTACATAGGCTTGCTTCAATTCTAGCTGAAAATTTAAAAAAAAATTACTGCACATCGCGTCTTTCGTATTCGCAAGAAGATATCCGGAATGTGGAAGGTGAGAGCAATCGTCTTTACTATGCACCATGTATTATCTTTAATACGCACCATATATTATCTTTAATACGCACCATATATTATCTTTAATACGCACCATATATTATCTTTAATATGCACCATATATTATCTTTAATACGCACCATATATTATCTTTAATATGCACCATATATTATCAGTGCAAGACTTTTTCCTTGTTTCCAGCCAGAGACGTAGAGAAATTTTAGCAAGAAGTTGACCGAATTCTTATTTTAAGGAAATTTTCGCACGAAATTTCAGCAAGCAGTTGACCGAATACTTTTTTTTATCAAATCCCCACACGAAATTTCTGTAGGAATCGATAAACTTTCGGCTTGCTTTCTTCTAGTCACTGAATAATTCACAATTCTGCTTATCAAATTTAGTTATATTATTCTCGGTTCGCAAACATCGATACAGAATATCATTTAAATCAACTATTCTGGATTATGTCATAATTTGGATTTTGTTATTTAGAATTTGTACTTGTCGATTATAGTTAAAGAACTCTAGTTCAAAATATCAGGAGGTTGATACTATGCACAGAGTAACCTAAGTTTCAAAGTTGACTCTTGATTCCGTTCCGAAAATTCAAGCTAAAAAATGAATTAAATTTTCCATAAATTTCATTCATCTTCTTGTAAATTCCTTCAACACAATTCACAATTTTATCCGGAAATTTTTCTAAAAATCTGTAACAAGGATCGATGAAACAGAATGCTTTTTCCCTAAACGTTATTTTAGCTGCCCATATAATCCCCTAACTGGGGAATATTCCCCAGTTAGGGGAATCAATTCAATCAACTATCAATTCCCCAGTTAGGGGAATCAATCGAGAATCAACTATCAATTGATTCTCGATTTCATCAATTGTATCACTCAACATAACTCTGAATTTTCTCTTTCATATCCCGCATGCAGGAAGCGGCCTCCGGTAGTCTGGACAGAAAGCCAGTTTTTTTTTCACACTGAGCCCACTTTCTTCCTCATCGCTGTTGACAAAAACCCTTTAAGATCGGAATAAAATTATAATCGTCATTTTCAAGACCCGTTTCACTGAGAAAAATTACACTGTCACATTTCAATTTAGTTATAATCGTAGGCTTCTGTTTCTAACCTCACCTAAAACAACATAATTAAACCAAAGGAACTGTTGATGCAATAAAGCAGCAAATAAAATCATCTAACACACGACATTAAATATTATCTCATCAACCAACCCCGATTATTGCAATAAATACACTAAAAACTTAATAGCAAAGAAAACTCCACAAAAATTCATAGTATTTATTTTGTGGAGTTTTCTTTGCTATTAAGTTTTTAGTGAATTTACGATTCAAGCAAACGAGTGAGATTATTGCAATAAATAGTTAAATGGTAGCACACTAACGCAGACTTCACAGCTAAACGCGAAAGCGGACCAATATTAAGACGGCGCAACGACGCCACGCATGAAACCGGTTTTGTTTTCTTTCTGCTTCATGCTGGATTTTGACAGCAAGTCTTTAGAAATCAGCCCGGGTAATAGTGACCAGGAAACTACTCCGAACTAATTTTTTTAGGCATACATCACTGCAGAAGAGTTACAAGATTCAAGTCTTTAGAAATCAGCCCGGGTAATAGTGACCAGGAAACCACTCCGAACTATGTTTTTGTTGGCCTTCATCACTGCAGAAGAGTTACAAGATTCTTACACCCCAAAGAAAATCAATTAATAATTAATTAAGTAATTAAAAGTTTAAATTAATTAATAAATTAATGATTTAAGATTTATTTAATTTATAGACTCATTATAATAATTAATGGCTTATATTAGGCGCTGAAATTTAACTTTTTCCTTCTGAAAGCGTCATGCAGCAGCGCTTTTCCTATCCCGTCCCTTTTCATATCAAAATCAGTCGTATGCACTACGGACCAGGGGCCATACTTTCAAAACTCGCTAAGTGAACGTAAGTACTTACGCTCTATTTTCTTGTCTATGATTGGTGGATTTGGCTTGAAAGGCTATCAATGATTGGCTGATGAACTTACGATCTCTTAACTTTTTTGAAAGTATAGGCCTGATCCTTAACACCGAACAGGTATGTACTATAAACCCGTTAGACATTTGTTTTGCATCGTCACTGTGCGGCACGATGGTCAAGATGACGCTGCTGTGTGACATGCATATCACACTACACCTACACAGCGCGCACCATATACAACAATTATATGCAATAGACAAGCTACGCATCTGCTATTCATTTCAACGAAGTACTCGATTCTCTTGTAGTGTAGGAATCGGAAACAAAGTACGTACTGGCAAGCGAGTTCATAGCAGTCTTTCGATTCTATCTGCATTTGAATCGAAAGCGAGCATTTTTTTTAAACCAAGAGCCATGCGCTGTACAGTTTAAGATATGCACGACACTCACACAAAGCGCTCCATCTTTCCCCGTTCATCATAGCCTGAATGACTTTCGAATTCTCTCTCTCTCTGCATTTGAGAGAGAATCGGGAGTTAGTATAATAGATGCGATATTTTTGTATAATCTAATGTTTGAGTGTTGTCTGCACTAGGTCTTAAAACTAATCTTACCACCAGAATAATCAAAATTTACTTCGATGTCATAAACCTACTTGTATATTGTGATGCTGATGTATATCAAGTCAAAACATATACTCATGCTGTAACTTGTTCCCATAAGAGGACCAAGCTGTTACCCACATCAGCCTTTGTGTAGGGACACACATTAATTCAACTGTCGTCAATACAGCACGTACTTTATGTCTATGTAACGACAGTTACATTATGCGGGTTAATTAACCTTCTCCTTCTCCAGGGTGATGGTTAACCTGCATAAGTAAGGATCTCAGCGCTAATCCTTTCATAAACTTGCCAGATTACAGAGACTTTGGTGCTTGCGGGGTTCCATTTGGCAGCTTAATGCTTTAATTAATGCATCCTCGTGTGGATGTCGCTTGCACGACATTATTTCCGATATTTCCCATTGAAAACTAATCACATGATTGTGCGAAATATCCATCATTCCTACAATAAGGAGTATAATTTATTTTTCAATCTTATTTCAATTGCAATTCTGAGAGAATTCATTATTTATGAGTCAATTTTGTTTTTTTTTAAATAAAATTTAGCGAGTAATAGCAAATTAATTAGTAGTATAAACACAAATTTTAGTGTTGTTACTGTATATTCAAAGAAATACGCACTTCAATATTTTAAAGTACGAAAAAATGTTCAACCCTATAGAAGCAGGAGTTAAGTTATAACGTTAGCATCAGTTATTATCGTTATTATATCTCTTTAAATTGTTTATTATTTTTAATTTTTCATTCATTTGGTTCTGGAAGTTCATTTGTTCACTAATGAACGTGCACATGTTTTACCCAAATATAAAAATAGGCAAAAACATTGCTTTATTAAAAAATTGAAGAATTAAATACGTTTTTTTAAATAACGGTTTTATTTTTTTCCATGACGCCTATTATAAACGGGTAGTGAAACCATGAATTTTTTCAGGCTATTCGAATTGATTTGTCATTTTCTGACTGTGATTTCTCTCCACATTATTGAAGAAGTTTACATATACAGGAGTGTGTGCATGAGAGTGCAAGGTTTTAAAAGAATACAGATGTGTTAAGTTCCGACGCAGTATTGTTTGGATAGGAATTGCTAAGCAGGCGTAATTCATACGTTATTGTTTAGATTTATCTGCTCCAAAAATTATATCCTAAAACACTTAACGTGATGATGTGAAATTGAAATTATTAAGTCGTCACGTTAAGTAGCTTCATTATTTTTATATGTTCATATATTTTAATATTTTATGTCTAATTCACAATGCTCTGACCAAAGCTAGTTCTCTCGAAAATCTCACGGGAACAGAGATTAATTTTTTCATTTTTTATTTTATATTTTTCAATAAAAATTTCTATTTCAAAAATAGAAAATTTTTTTCTATTTTTCACAAATATTCTTATGTTGAAGTTTCTCGGCAGCGATGCCAAGTTTTTGGAAAGCTGATTTTTTGGGCTGATTTACCTCCAAATATTATTTTCATAAAGGTGAATAAACCTATTTTTCATAAGACAATGAGATTTTCTACAGTTTTTGTCAGCGAACATTTAGAACTTGCATAAAAATTCACGCTAAAGGGCATTTAGAAAAAAAATGGAAAAAATTAGGAAATTCGTAAAATTAGTTTCTTTATTTAAAAAAATTCACGATAAGTGCATCATGATCTTCCTTATAGATCTAGTACATCTATTGCATTCTATGAAGTTTATGAAGTGTACAATTATAAAATAGACGACGAGTGATTACAGGCACCGTGTCTATTTTTAACCATATAGACTTCAATTAAAAAATTTACTGTACGTCTCACAGTTTTTTCCGAGATTCAGGCCTCATGGTTAAATTTCCGCCGCAATTTAGAATATTGGACCTGTATTATGGATTTCAGCCTTAAGAAAGTTTGAGGGGTTAGCATTTTCAGCTAAACTTATCAAAATTTTGTAAAAATATAATAAAATTAATATATTTCACATTAAATTATGGAGTTAAAAAAACCGTAACGCAGATAATTCAATTATAGGAAGTGCTTATGATAACGTAGTGTGAGCGTGATTCATTCGCCCTGTTCATTGAATAGCTTCATCAAAAATGAAGCATTCGTTCTAAATTATCTAGACTATAAATCACCTCAATTGTGAATAAATTTCCTAAGAGCCCTACATTCAGAACGAAAGAATTAAGTCCCTCTCGTTTTCTAGCGAATAAGATCGACACACTTGTAGGTATTCCTCCAGGAATTCACGAAGTCTTTTATGAAATCCATAGAAAATTTACATACATGAGCACATTAGCTTGGTTCAGATCTTCCGTCATGTCAGAATCGGTACTTAGGAGGATTATTTATAGGTCTCTGCATGGCAGTAAAGAGACGTTTAGGAAGCATTCTTGTTCAAATTNCTTCAGAATTC